ATATATATATTTATATTGAGATTAATTTGCAAGACATTTTTGGTCAGATTTTCCTAACTCCCTGCCTAATCCCTATGAGTCTAATCCCCATTTCATAGAGACAAAGAGAGACAGAGATAGAGACAAAAAACCAAAACAAGAGAAAGCGATACTGACCCATCCAGAAGGAGAGTGCTCTAGAAAACTACATTATATACTAACTTCATTGGGAATTGCCAACCAATGAACATCCTGATTAAACTTTCAGCTCTTTCTAGAGGCTTCTGCAGAGAATGATTACCTTGCATCCTGAGCACACAACTGATGAAAACATGTATTCAACAACACTTAAAACAGCGAAATTGGGCTGGAGAGATGGCTCAGCAGTTAAGAACACTGATTGTTCTTGCAGAACGCCCAGGTTCGAATCCCAGCACCCACATGCCAGCTAACAACTGTCAGTAACTCCAGTCCCAGCAGATCCGACAGCCTCTTCTGACCTCCATGGTCATTGCACAACACGGCTGCACTTACCTACATGCAGGCAATACATGCATACACATAAAAATAATTTTAAATTAAAAAAAAAACAGCAAAATTAAATCAAGGCTGCTACCTAAAGTCTCAAACTTAACCTAACACTCAGCCTTGCATGGGCATACCCGAAAAGATCATATATTATGGGAAATCCCTCATCAAAGCCTGAGTCATCCCCTACATTACATTCTCCATTAACCAGGGTAAATATAGTACTTATGGTGTCTCTATTGCTCCTTTCTAGGAAAACTGAAGATTCTGTCTAAAAATGAGCTTAACTTCCAATAGCAAGAATGAAGTTCTTTTGAAATTACAAAATTGATGTTTCCAAGCTTAATTTTAAATGGAGCTCAGAGAAATATGCAGTTTGCAGAAAGCTTACAAGCTATCGAAGAAATCACCCTGCTACTATTTCAGAGGTCATTGACAGACTGTCAGCAAGACATTTATAGAAATAAATTGTCCTTCGAGATAGAGGTTGTGGTTTCTACCTAGGGGGTGTTCCTGGCCGAGATGCCAACCACAGATACAGCATTGTTTGTCTCCTAGAATATGTGCACCAGAGTAAATTTCAAACCATTTATCATAAGTCTGTTTAACGTGAACTATAATGAATAAAGCAAAGAATAGGAAAAGAAACTACACTTTCAGAATCTTCTTAAGAAATTAAATGTTTTTAAATAATCAAATAAATATTAAGATAGAAATGCTTATTCCAGTATCAATAATTTTATTTGGGTTGATTTAAAGTTTTTAACATGCATAATTGCTAACCTTATATTTCTAACCCAATATTTAATAACTTTTGAAACATAATCATCTCTATAAATATATATATAAATATATTATATGTATGGATGGATATATAGATAGATGATAGAAGATAGAAGATAGATGATAGATG